AGGCTCACACCTTTACTGAGCACCTGCTTACTGGGCGCCAGCCGCAGGGCACAGCCGTGAAGAGGCCAGCCCGGAATGGGAGTGCCCTGCTGGAGCTCAGGACCACGGGCGGGGCAGATGGTCCCCAGGCTGGATTCAGGACAGGGCTGCGTGGGCGGAGGACTGTGTAGACTCTGCAGATCCCAAGCGGGGAGCTTGGGGCTCTGATACAGGAGTAGCAGGGCTCTGATTGCTGCAGCTGGGAGCTGATTTTCCTCTGGAGTCAGAATGATTCATTCACGCCCTTTCAAAACTCATTCTACTGCCAGGCCCTGTTCTAGATGTCACAGGACACAGAGCCAAGTAAGATGGGTCCCCACCCTTGTGGGCCAGAGTCCTGGACACAGACAAAGAACATGTGCAGAGTGATCAGTGAGCAAGAAGAGTCTTGGGGATAGGGTCTTGGAAGAGGAGTGGGATCTGGGAAGCCTTCCTAGAGGTGGTGGCCCCTGAGCTGGGTATTGAAAGCTGACAGAGGCTGGGGAGAAGGAAAGGCATTGAAGATGAGGGAATCACATGAGTAAAGGTACAGAGGAGGGAAAAGGGCTCGGCACAATTCAAGGACCAGAGCAGAGTTTTGGGGCACGCTCAATGGCTGTGAGCAAGATGAAATAGGGCCAGCCTGGACTAGGCTAATCTAACACCCAAAAGGATGGCTTCAGTTGCCATTTGAAAAGCAGGCCATCACCGGGAGCATTCTACGGGTACCACCCGATAAATGTGATCTCTTCTCCCCGTGACCGGGTCCCCTCCAGTTCCGGCCTCTGGATTCTCAGGCTGCCAAAGATGCACACACATTTTCCCAGCTGAGATAAAGCCCCCCCTTAAAAGTGACACACATTTAATAAATGACATTTGCCAAGGTTTCCACCAGTGCCCCAGGTGCTGCAGCGGAAACTACCACCTGCCTTGGAATCAGTGCAAATGCGGATGCTCATGGCCTTGAAATAAGGTGGGGGCGGGCCCAGTGGGCCAGGGTGCTCTCTCTTCAGGCAACTGAGAGAGCTGGGCACTGTCCATATCCTTGCTGGGACAGGGCAGACCCTGGTAGTCCCCTCTATGTAGCAGGTAAACTCCTAAGGTGCCAAAACAGTCTACAGCTTGTGCTCTGGGACCAGAGGACCCATATATCTCAGTCTTAAGTGGGGTGACTTGGCAGAGTCGCTTTTCTCTAAGCCTGCACTTTCTCACCTGTAAACAAGGGGTCCCACGTCTCTCTCCTCCCAAGGCCAGAGGTTCAGCAGTTAGAAGAGCTGGACTGAGATCTGCACATTTCCTCGACTCCCCATCCCACGACCACATGTTATTAGCAGAGCTTAGTGGCTCAGCTTCCAAGATCTGGCCAGACTCTGCCCTCTTCTTACCACCACTTCCGTACCACAATCCCTCACCTAGATCCTCATCTCAGCTTCCAAACTGGCCTCCCGCGCCACCTCACCTCTCTACAACATGCCCTCCCCCTGCAGCCAGAGGAGCCTCTAAAACCTAAGCCAGGTGACATCCTTTCTTTGCTCAAAACCTTCCAGCAGACTTCACCGCACTCAGAGTGAGACCCAGGGTCCTTCCGGTGGCCCCCAGGGTCCTGCAGCTTTGCTCTCAACCATGCCAGATTTCTCTGCTCACCTCAGGGCCTTTGCACTGGCCACTGCCTCTACCTCACACTCATCATCAATATGTTGGCTCCCTCTCCTGCTTCAGGCCTGAGAGGCTTTCCTTGGCGCTGCGTATAAAACACTACCCATCCCCCAACATCCCTTCCTTTGCTTTATTTTTCTACATATTATCCACCACCCAACATATTATGTAGATATTTGTCAATTTCATTAGCATCCATCTCCCTACCCTAGACTTACTTATAAGCCCTTTGAGAGAGACTTATTTTGTTCCTCAGTGTATGTTCCCAGATTTATATCAGTGCCTGGCATTTGTTAAATGTATGTTCTGGTTTGGAATCTAACTCTGCCACTCATGAGACCCCAGGAAATTAACCCACTGGACCTCTGGTTTCTCACCCATAGGACAAGGAAGATAATAATAATAACACTAGGGTTGTTCTAGGATGAAACAGGCTCATGTGTGTAGAGAGCTCAGTGCCGTGCTGGGCACAGAGGAGGCACCCGGTGCAGGGCAGCGTTAAAGGGCAGCGTTTCCAGGCAGCGGACATTTAAGGATGAAGGGGATGACATATGATCACGGCCTTCAGCCTGAGAAGCAAAGGATTCTCTCCGAGGCAGAACCAGCTCTGCCCAATGTTTGCACAAGACCACCTGGAGCTGGACCTGCGAACAAGCTGTGCACACTGTTGGCAGGAGTCTGGGAGGCAGGGAGGGCTAGAGGCATTTGCTGGGTTCAGGGACCTGGAGGTGATGAGAAATGTTCACAGTGCGCCCTGTTTGCAAAGCAGCAGGGAAAGAACTATCAAGATGTGTGTGCTGTAAGCACCCCTCGTATTCACCACGCCTGAGGGTGGGGGACAGGTGAGGCTGCGAGAGCACGCACAGGCACCAACACCCACCATCCACTGCGTTTGGTACCTTGACAACCTAAGGATCTTCTTTCCACCTCCCCATTTTGCAGAGGGAGAAACTGAGGCCCAGAAGTAAGGACTGGAGAGGCTGAGAATCCAGGGGTGTCCTTCCCAACCTCCAGGCCCAACTGTTCCTCTAAGGCAGGCCCAGGTGCTGCTGGCCATGAGCCCACAGGTGCAACATATGGATGAGGCCAGATAAGAGGAAGCCCTCATTTAACTGTCATGAGCCCATGAGGCAAGTGCTGTTGTCAGCATCTTCTTCCTACAGGTGAGACCCCGAGGGGCAGGGAAGGGGCAGAGGCAGGACTCAAACACAGAGGTGTCTTGTGCGATCTCTTCTCCCTGCGGCCGGGTCCCCTCCGGCTCAGGCCTCTGGATTCTCAGGCTGCCAAGGACGTGCACACATTTTCCCAGCTGAGATGAAGGCCCTCTTAAAAGCGACACACGCTTATTAAACGACATTTGCCAAGGTTTCAGCACACTCTGCTGCTGACAGCAGATAGTCTCCGGACGAGATTTCTCCCCAAGCTGACACTATTCGCTGATGCCTTTTATAGCGCTTTTTGCAGTTTGCAAAAGCACTTTCCACAGCTCTTAGTTCCCTTAACCCTCCACAGTCCCTGTGCAGGAAGAAAGAGTGGTCGCAGTTCCATTTTGCAGATGGGGAGAATGAGGCTCAGAGCAGGGAAAAACAGGCATCTGGGCTAGAGCCTGAGAGCCGGAAGGGACCAGCAGGAGAGCAGCCAAGTTGAGTCTGCTTCACAGAAGGGGAAACTGAGGCCCAGAGCAGCAGTGTAGTGGATTCCAGGTGATGGAGGGGGGCTCCACCTGCCCCTTAGAGCCCCAACTATGAAATGATGATCACACAACAGTAACAGTAATAGTAACGATGGCTAACGAGCATTGAGCATGGGCATTACGAGCAGCACAACAGACCTCACCAACCTCCTCAAGGACCCAGCAACGCGGGGCTGTCACCACCCCCACCTCACAGAGGGCAAGACTCAGGTACAGCCACTTGGCCAAGGTCACGCGGCTGCAGAGCAGTCTGACTCCACCTGCGTCCTCACCCACTGCATCAGACCGCCTTGTGCAATGAAGGGCCCTTTGGAGGAGGCAGGCGCTGACTCAAGCCCTCCAAACCGAGCCCGGCCAGGAGAGTGTAGCCCAAACTGCATCACATGTCATGGTTTGCCTGCCCGTTCACCGTGGTGCCTACACTGGGGAAAGCCGTACTGTAGAGATGAAATTTCAAGTACCCATTCTGGGGTTTCTGGACCCCTCCCTGCAGCCCAGCTGGCACTGATACTTTGTGCCTCCTGATATCTTAGGAATCCCTGTTTCATCACAATGGGCAGGGACTTGTGGTGTGGTCACGGCCCCCACCACAGAGGTGGGACGCTCCAGTAGTTAGGGCACAGCTCTGCTTTCCGACCAGATTTACTGTCTCTAGGACCTCATGGTTGAGCCTCCTTTTTAGTAGGAAGGTCTTAGTACCTACCTGATCCCTCATTCAACCAATATGCATTAACACGCCTACCATTACCAGGCCGTGTGCAAGGTCCCAGGAGGCCCAGGAGAGTTTAAGACAGACACAGTTCTTCCTTTCATGTAGCTTACATTCTAGTGGGGGAAACAGGGCTGAAATAATGAAATAAATACAGAAAAGGCTAGGAGTGCTAAGAAAAAAATGAATTTGTTTCTCAACAGAGACTAACAGGGGAGTCACTTTTAGAATGGGGCAGTTGGGAAAGGTAACTGTGAGGAGGTGAGATTGTAGCTGAAACCTAAAGGAAGCAAAGGCCAGCGGAAGTGTTCCAGCAGGTGAGAAGAGCAAGTGCAAAGGCCCTGAGGTGGGAAAGTAGCTGGTGCAGATGAGGGCTGAAAGCTGGTACAGAAAGAAGACCGCCATGGCTGAAGCCCATGGAGGAAGGAGAGTGTAGTACTAGTTGGGGCTGGAGAGATGGACACGGTCCAGAAAAGGCCATGCATCATGGATCATGGTAAGGAGTCTGATTTTATTCTCAGAGCAGTGGGAACCACTGGAAAGTCTGGAGCAGGACCAAAGAGGATTTGATTCATTCCAGCTGCTATGGGTAACAAGACTGGAGGGGGCAAGAGTGAAAATAGGAATGCAGCAATGAGGATGTTATAGCATTTAGGGGTTTGGGCCCAAATCCTAGCTCTGCAGTTAAAAGCTCTGTGACCTGAGGCAAGTCACTTCATCTCTCTGAGTCTCCATCTCGTCATCTGCCCAGTGGGTATAATAATACTTCCCATCGCACAGAACTGTGGTGAGAATTCAATGAGATAATGTACAGATCCTATCACCTGACCTCACATGTTCAAAGTCAAGTGCTCAGTGAACCAGATCCTACTTGGTCTGGCCCTGACCTCTCCTAACTCTCCCACTGCCTGTCTCCCTTAACTCCAACCTCATTGGCTGTTCCCAGAACAGAGCTAATCCATTCCAGCCTCAGGGCCTTTGCACTTGCTATCCCTTCTGTGTGGCATGCTCTTCCCCCGATATTCCCATGGCTGCTCCCTCAGTTTTATCAAAACCTCTGCTCCTCAGAGAGGCCCTCTGTTCCCACTCAATCTTCTATCCACTTTATCCTGTTCAGTTTTCTGCATAGACGCTGTCTCCACCTGCTGTAATGTTTACTTGGATCTGTGTTCCTTCCTCACTAGACTGTCAGCGCCATGAGAGCAGGTATTTTTGTCTGTGGGTGTATTCCCAGCACCAAGAGCCAGCCCTACACACAGCAGATGCTCAAAATTACTTGTTGAACGAATAAAGATTAAAATGACCATAACAAGGATGGAAAAGTGGTTAAGAGTAAACTGAGGTTTAGATCCAGCTTTATTTAACTCTCATTGGCTATGTGGCCTTGGGTAAAGCCCAGCTTGGCTTTGGAGAGCCTCAGTTTCCTTACCTGTCAAGTGGGGATGAAGGACTGTATGCTTTTCAGCTCATTGTATTAGACACTGGATTAGACAATGGCACACATCCAAGTATCGATGGATGAAATGATGCCTCATGTCCAGCGTCTGCTTTATAATCCTCCCCACAACCACAAACCCAGAAAAGGGAGGGGCAGGTGAAACCCAAATGGCAGGTGAGTGCTGAAGCTGGGGTTCCTCACACCATTCTTCATTTTGCAAATGTTTGAAATGTTCCAAAATAAAAAGATAAGGAAGAGACAGCAAGGATTCACA